AATAAGTGATTGTTTGTTGGAATTCCCACAAGAGTATATTTAAAAAAACTAGCTATAATGAATGGAGATTCCAATTCTGATGCTGGCAGGCTTATGTTTAATTTTAATTTTTAGCCCTTAAGAGGTTTTTTTTTAAGAGGGTCAAAGGAACCTGCTAGAATGTTCCACCTATTTCACGCACAAGCATGAGTGCATCTTTTGGTGTTACTATGACCTCAAAGGAGGCGTAGAAGCCAAGGGCGCGGGCGTCAGGTTCCTGACTATGTGACTGAGGCTGGCGATCTTCTCTTCTAGGAGGTAATTTTTCTTCTCTGCTGTTTTCTGTCGCTGTTCAGTCATTTCCAGAGCTTTCAACAACTGAGCATTTTCAACATACAAATCCTTCACCACTGTGTCTGCTTTAGTATTCTTGCAGAGCTAGAAACAGAACCAGAGACATCTTGATCCCATTTCTGTATCAGTGCTTTCCAGCTTTAGGGCTGGCACAAGGACAGCTGTCTGATAAGGGCAAAGGCAATTCTCTATTATAGTTTCTGTTGTAAGGCGAAGCTTTAATATCAGATTTGGCAGCAGGGCTGCGAGTGGGACAAATCCACTTTTTTCCAAGCTGTTTCTTTACATAATATGTTTGTAGATGTTAGTAATGAAAACAACAGGTGGTTATGTTATTAAAGGTCTCCAAAATGTCTTTCCTCTACCTAAATAAAGTGTCTTTCCTTGTTTTCTAAAACTAACAATACTTTTGTAACTTAAACTTTTGAGGTACAAACTCGGCTTTTAAGCAAGTGTGTAAGGTTTCCAAAATCTACAGCTTATTGCAAAATTTGGCTCATGAATTATAGCCAAGATGAGATGTGGGCAGTTTTCTTCAGAGAGCCCTGCCTACAAGGTAGCCCACTCCTAATGGTTAGAAGATTTGGTCTAGGTTGGGGGTGGGAAAATTCATGAGCAGATTTGGGGGACTGTTTCTCAGATTGTTCCTTTAATATCTTCAGTCTCTTTTACTCCCTTCGTACTTCTAGGTCCTCATTTTACAGCTAGATACAAGCAGAGCCTCCAAGGGGATAAAGAGCCACCAGAGAGAGGCTACTTAGTATTTCCCTGGTGAGAAATAATCCAGGTGACTGGCAGGTGGCAGACACTAACATTCTAGAACTCATCTTCATTGAAATGTCCTAGTACCGCTTTTCAATCCTCCTCTCTGTTTTATTGAGAAACACTTCAACTGCTTTTCATCACAACAGTTTCCCTCTGGGTGGCAAGCGAGGTCTCTCTTCTCTAGTCTCCTCTTTCAGGACAGCATTACAGCCCGGCCGCGCCCAATGTTTAGAGATGCCCCCACCCTGTACGTTGTCCTAACCCTTGATGTTTCCACGGCCTGGCACACCCTTCTTCCCACATTCTTTCTCACCTGGCACTCTATTCTCAGGGCTCCACTTAGGAGGTCGGCAGGAAGCTTCCTCACGCTCACAGTGGGGCTGTGATTTGGATGTCTTGCTGCCAGGTGGGCTGTACCACCAGTGGCACATGCGTTAGTATCCCACCAAGCAGCAAAGGATGGTCCGATTGTGTGGTACAAAGGGCAGGATGGGACAGTCACACATGTGGCTCAAGGTGGTGGGAATGGCTTGGATCAAATGTCTTTTCTCTCATGTTTTCTTCTACTGAAAAAGAAAGCCAACCCTATTTTATTTCATTTTTGACCCTGGCATCAAGGAAATGCTTGGTACCTTGTAGGTGTGCTAGATTTTATTTATTTTTATTTAAATTTATTTATTTATTTATTTATTTATTTATTTATTTAGTGTGTGTGGCCAGCTCAGCCCACCAGGGGGTGGGGCTGGCTGGCATGTGGTGCTGGGGGATCGAACCGCGGTCCCTGTGCTTTGCTTGCCTTAGCCTGTTCTAAGTAGGTGCTTTAGACCACTGAGCCATCTCACCAGCCCCAGGTGTGCTAGATTTTAATTCAATATGTGCAGGGAGATCTTCACTCTCTTTTTTTCTTTCCTATTGCTGTTTCTCTAGGACCCAAAACATGACCTGGGAACACAGCAACACAACCGAATGAATGAATGCTTACAGGGTTGAATGGCTAACTGCTCACTAACAGGCCCTTCTCCTTTTCTCTTCTGCTTACTTAGATAAAGGGTAAAGAAGAATTCTTGTCCACGTCTGCATTTAGACCTCTTGGGGTGGTTGTGCTTTTTAAAAATGTTTATCTAGAAAGTCACCACCAAGGCTAGGGACATAGCCCAGAGGTCTAAGTGCCTGCCTGCAAAGCGTGAGGACTTGGGTTCGATCCCTGGTACTGAATGTCATGCCAGCACAGGAACAGGGCGTGGTGGCATACACCTGTAAACTGCGTACTGTGGAGGCTGAGACAGGAGGATTGCTATGAATCTGAGTTGTGTAGTGAAAACCTGTACCAAATAAATAAAAAGATTAAAAAAAGAAAGTAAATTATTCCCAATCTGTCTCCAGTCTGTTTCCAGGGATGCTCTAACCTGGTCCTGGGAGGCGGCCCTCCCTGAGTAGTTTAGTGGATGCATACTAACCTTTAAAGACTTAGGTTATATCTGCCACCATGAGGTGCTCACTGGTCTAGAATTTGAGGTCCAAACTCTATTGAAAGCACATCCTTTTGGGGCCTGATAAGGTACTTTTTGAGGTTGTCACAAGCTGTCGGGAACTGGAAATCTAAAATTCTACTTTTTACGCCTCCCCTCGACTTTTTTTTTTTTTCACTACCAGTATTATGTTTCTATTTGAACAGGCACACTGTCTTTGGTACAGAAAAGTAAGACATAAGATGCTCAGTTTGAGCCACAGAACCTCATTAGGGATGTGTTAGATCTACGGGAGATATTGTTAGCAAATATGTTAAAATTGTGGACAAACATATGTTGTAAAAGAGCTCTGGAAAAAATGTAGAATATAGAATTCATATTTTTGGAACAGTGCAAGGGAGAGTGGATCCAAAGTTCTTCCAGATACTGGGGTAGAATGTGCCTTTATTGGACAACTCAAGTTACTGGTAAGAGAGGGACATGAAAGTGGAGTTGGACGTGGGACACGAGGTGGACACACAGAGGGCGAGGGGAGGCTCACTTGTTCTTTGAGCTGATTCACTTTCTCTTGAAGAAGCCTCTTCACCAGTTTCAGTTTCTGTTCCACTTCTATCATCCGTTCTTCCATGAGTGTTACCAGTTGTTCCTGGCTTCCCTGCAGAACAGAAAGATGGCGTATTACCATTTGACAATCACGCCACACGGGCAGCACCAGAGGCTTACTCTCCCCACCAGATGCCTAAGGAAGGGACTGCTAATGATTTGCTTTGATGACAGGAAGGATGGATTTCTGATGCAAGGGGATTTTTGAGTGCCACATGGAGTTGCGCAGGTGAGAAAAACAGCCCTATCAGAGAAAGAATCAAAGGGAGAGAATCTTACCTGTGACACCACTGTTCCCTGATAAAAAGCAAAATTCTTAGGCCCCGTCACTGAGTACCTGTGTGTGCTTCTTCTAGTGAAATGAATATCCAAAGCAAGTTAAAAGACGTTAATGAACCTTCTGTTGTGACTTGGGTCTCTGCAATACTGTGGGGGTCTCCACAACACAACAGAACTGGGTTTATCTGAGGCTGCCTCATCCTCCCAAACATGGAAACACAGGCATGATTTTCCTTTGAAATGACTGATCCCAGGGAAGGTTTTATTCCTTCATAATTGTCTCTCCCTGCCAGTACCCTGGTCATCTCTTTCTCAGTTTGTCTAGTCAATGTGAAGCAAAGAGCTGGGCCAGAAAGTGAATTTATTATCAGAGCAGACTGAAACTGGAGAACTGATGGGCTGGGGAGATAGCTCAGTGGTCTAAGCACCTGCCTGGCAAGTGCAAGGATCCAGGTTCGATTCCCGCTACCACATGCTGTGCCAGTCCCAGAACCCCTGACACTCTGTGCTGACCACTGAAATGGGGAGTGGTGGCGCGCACCTGTAATCCCAGCACTGGGGAGACTGAGACAAGAGGATCACTATGAGTCCAAGCTGTGTAGCAAGCAAGACCCTGTACCAAATAATAAAAAAATAAAAGGATGTTAAAAAAAAAAAAAAAAAAAAAAAAGAGAAATTCTCCCCATAGAGCACTCCTAGATTAAAAACCACTTGGCAGGGAGAGAGCTCTGGCTTGTCCTCCTGTCCCACACGAGTGAGGGCTGAAGGAGTGGGTGGGTGGGGAGACAGTGACTGCTGAGGCCTGAGTGTTACTGACTGTGCCCCTGTTGTTCCTGTCCGGTCACCAAAATGGCTACCTAAGGAACACCAGATCACACAGTGCTTCAACGCTTTAAGCACAGCTCCAATGTTGATGGTTTAATCTTTTTTTTTTGGTGGTTCCAGGGATTGAACTCAGGATTTTGTATTTACCAGGCAAGCATATATTCCATTGAGCTATGGCTCCAGCTCCAATGGTTAAATATTCTTTAAAAGGCATACCTTAAAATAGAACATGCAGGCTGATGAAAGAAGTTGAAAGCCCACATTTGCTTGGGTATTAAATAATAACTCTTAATCATAAACGAACCATATGACTAATTCGAAGGCAAAAAGTAGACTGAAGCGGTAGGCCAAAGTTCAATGCAAAAAGAGAATTTCAACAAATGAGGCCTGCAACATCTGGCTTCTAAAAAGGCCGACCTGTAAAAAAATATATAATGGGTGTTTTTCTCCTGAAATATCTATTTTTCATTTTATGAAAACATAAGACAAAATTTTCCTAACCAAATACAAAAATGACACTAGCTAATGAGTTTTAAAGGTCCAAATATAAATGAATTTTTTTCATTTCCACTGACCTAAGAAAATAAAGCAAAACAGAAAACCACAACAACAGATAATTCTAAGAAAGTGGAATACGGCAAAAGAGTGGGTGGGGGGAAACAAGGAAAAATGAAGGCAGTCATATATTTAAAATTTATTTTATTGCTTCATCAAAATTTTCCTGTACCTTGTCAAAAATTATCATACATCTTATACAAAACAGTATAAATAACCCTGATTTTCTTCAAATGCCATATATAAAAGTAGTACCTTTCGTGAAAAAAAAAATAACTACAATGTATGGAATGAGAAAATATATAGAGTACATCTTTTCAAGAATCTTAAATCCACGCTCTTTAAATAAAAATGATTTGTAACAACCTGAAGTTTGGGAATTTGAGTCACAAAATCTGTCATTTCTACAGAAATAAATACGAGACATAATACTGCAGAGGCGCCAGGAAAAACAACAACCGAGGGACTGCAAAGCGCGCTTGGATCCACGGGGTCTCGGCTATGTCTGTGCGGTGTGCGTGCGTGCGTGCGTGCGTGCGTGCGTGCGTGCGAGCATCTGAGGCTCTGCCAGGGGCCCAGGGGCGTCCTGGGCAGCCCCGTGTCACAGGTGCCCAATCCTTCTGCAGGAATCTGCATGCACTGCGCGCTGCTCCGGTAGCAAAGCCTAGAGGAAGAAGGCAAGTGGGACATTTCACCCCGGTGCCAGGAGGACGGGTTTTCAGGGCAGTCTAACTTCACACACGACACTGCAAACAGGTTTTAAGAGGGCACACATTGACGCTACACGTGCAAGCAAAGTGACACAGAGGCAGGGGACGTCACATCACGCCACACTCACGGATGACATGCACAGCCCACCAGTTACTCTATGGCCTTAACATTCATGCCAGCTCAGCGGCAAAAGCCCGAGGGGGACTCTTGTGCAAGTGGCGAGCAGCCTGCCCTCTTGGTGCTGGAGGTATTTCCTTCTCCTTTTGTAAAAAAATATTAACAGAAGTAATGGAATAAAAGGATAGGTTTTCCTTTAAAACATGGGTGGGCATGCTGGGAACAGCATGCCTTGAGTGAAAGCCATGTGTTTGGCACAGAAGAGCAGTGAGAGGAACTGGGCTTCAAAGATCCATTTTTTTGTTTGTTTGTTTGTTTTTTTTGTATTTTAGGCAAGGGTCTACAAGGTGTTCAGAGTCTCACTACTAGATCTACCTGTTTACAGCCTCCCAAGAGCTGAGATTACAGGCGCACGCCACCACACCCAGTCTCAATTGCTGTCTCAGCACGCCAGGGGGTGGGGGTGGGGCCGGCATGGCAGGCCCGGGGATCGAACCCCCAGCCCCTGTGCACGCTTGCAGGCACTTTAATCCGCTGAGCTATTTGACCAGCCCTTCAAAGATCCATTCTAACCCGGGGTCTAGGAAGTGTGTCTCGAATAGTCTGCAGGGCAATGCTAACTCAAAAAGTTAATTACGATACTGGGAAGGTATTGTGGTGTAGAAAAGCTTCCAAAAGGGGGGTTTAAAAACAGATAAGGAAAAAAGATTTCTTCAAAGTTTTGCTAAGAATAGGAGGCAGAGAGGGCTATAGAGCAGCCAAGCGCAGCTACACATCAGAAGAGGAGAACACAGCCTTGGCACTAACATGATTTTGCAAAGCCCTCTGAGGGGCTTAAGGCAGAATTGGAAATTCTTATCAATACTGAGGGGTGAGGTATTTGGAAGCCTAAATGCATCAAGTCTAGAAAGAACTGACTGGAATTCCACAAAGTGTATTTTAGTCTTTATTCCTAATTTTGAGTGAACTAAATGGGTAAGACCAGAGAGTTATGAAATCTCCGAAGGATGCCTATGAATGAAGCACTGAAGAAAACTAACTCTGAAAGCCTAGGTCAAATAAGGTTGTACAGCACCTGGTAGCCATGCTAGGATAATGCTAATGGAAAGGCAATGGGAAGATCTTCATTTTTTAAAATGGTTTTTCAAACTAAATTATTCAAAAAGACCAAGTGAAATGAACCCTATCAACTAGAAATATATCACTGACACGTTCTACTTATTAGTTTATACAAGTTCCCATTTGTAAGTTCTGTAGAACTTGGCAGGCTCCACCCCTCTGGCACAGGAAAACTTAGGATGCTGTTATTAACATGCACCCCAAGTTGCATTTGAGTTTTCTAATATTTGTGGCATCAGATGAGGCCACCAGGCTGACACTGCACAATGCTCCAGTCCTAAGGAGACCAGAACGTCTCACCACCCGGCCTAGAAGCTGAGCTCAAAACAGCACTGTGAAAACCAAACGCAAACACAGCTCTGCAGTTCCATGGGGGTGGAACACAGAGAAGGTATGACTCTCAGAAGATGTGGGTGCTTCATCCCCACTTTTCATAGAAAGGTGAAATAAAGAGGTGAGCTCAGTTGGCTAATAGGACAGAAGGCTTACTACCTGTGGCATGTTGGTGTCGGAGGCCCTGTTGTCAAGTTCCTCCTGCAGGTGCTGGTTTCTCCTTTCGGCCTGCAGCAGCTGGTGTTGAAGCTGCAGAAACTGCTCCCTGGGGACCACCCGACAGGCTTGCTGCTGGAGCGGCTGCAGATCCCAAGGAGGGGACGGGCTAAGCATCACAGTGGACCTCAGGTGCTGCATCTGCAGGACAAGGACAAGGGCAGGTCAGCAGCGGCTCCCTTCAGCCTGCAGCGGCAGTGAAGTCTCTCTCGGTCTTAGCTACGGGCCTCTGCTCAACCGATGACTTGCAAATGGGGCAGTGCATGAACCTGAGTGAGATGTAATGGGAAGAAGCATTTTGCTTAACAGATAATGGATAAGCAGGCTTTCTGAATAGTTTCAGATTTGCAAGAAATTGTCCTCCCTCACTCAGGTGACTACAAGAGCATCCATGCACAAAGACAGTCCGTAGAGTGGGATATCTGATTTCTACCTGAGTTTTTTCTAGGCCAGCACATTTAATTACCCTCTTCCCCCTTTTCAAAAAACTGAGGTTGGAGTAGGGAAACCAGGGGATAAGTGCTTATATTTTCGAATTTCCATTATACTTACCACTCATGAAGATTCTTAGACAAATGTTCAATGGCTACCTATTTTCCAACCCCATGATAGCAAAATTATTTTTAGGTGCATTTTTACCTTGCACCTAAAATTATAGGAACCCATTTTAAAAATGTTTGCCAATGTGTAGTTATACCCTTAAACAGCACAGTAAGACAGGCAATTTCTGGAGCATGAGGTGAAATCCTAAAATATCTGAAAGCTGGAGTACAAGGGATAGAAGCAGTTCTTGAAGACAATGAGGAAATGGTACATCGACATGCCAACCCAATGCAGGGAGAAGAAATGAGAGTACACTACGTCTTGGCCAACGAGCATGCTACCTCCCATCTTCCAGCACATTCCACAGACACAGGGCTCCATGGAGGACATGCAAGAAACACGAGCACATCCCAAGCCCAAGAGGGAGCACCTCTAGGCTTGTGGTGAGGGCAGCAGGGCTTTCAGGCACAACCATCATGACGTGTTACCATGAAACTTCAAAGCCACTATTCATCTCCTCAGATCCTCACTTCTGAGGCGGACCATTACCCATTCTGAAATCCTTTTCGTGGTAGATTCAAAAACGCTCCCACTTTGTTTTCATGAATAAAGAAAATACAGTATTAGGATCCCATGACTTTGTATCAGTGGGTTAACTTTCTTCATATACAATACTTTAAACACTGAGGAAAATCCTAATGTAAACTGAGACATTCCACAGTGAGGGCAAAATGAAAATGAATACTGGCTCTTTAGTTCTTATTAACTGTTCCAGTCATCGAAATGGTTACATGAGCAGAGGTTTTAATGAGATGACCCCATGCCACGACGGTCCATTGGAAGAAAATGTTCTACCTTCACACACTATCTCAGGCAGAGAACTGCACCCTTCTCTGCTACTTCCAACCACTGAGTTCTAGGTGCAGGTTAGCCACAGACAAAAGAAAAATAAACAAAAGAGAATTACAGGAGTTAGAGAAAGAGGAAGAAAAGGGAGTTATAAACAGAGAAATAACAGTACTGCTTGGATATATTTATATATCTGAATAGAACCAAACAAAGAACCAACAGTCACGTCTTTCTGGATATAATTTCGTAGACGTGAACGTGTCCTACAATGCTGATTCTGCTAGCAGATCCTCACCGCTGTCATCCAGTGAGTTTGGGAGCTGGCCTCCTTTACCTGTGCCTGTGCCAACAGGATTGCGTAGACCGTTCCAGGTCTAGTATGGAAGGATCTGCTGTTACCATCCCTTGGCCCTTGCAGATGCAGAACATAAACTCAAATAGTTTTGTTCAGCTGTTGGAAATGCCGGCTGTCCCAGGGGTACAGAACAGACTTGAGGTTCCTTTTTGAATGCTCAAGATTTTTTGTTCTCATGTTTTGACTAAATATTGTCTCCTCTAGTTGAAAAAGCCTTGGAGTTAGAGTCAGATTCTAGCCCTCATTCGTCCACTTCCTACTCTAGTCATTTTAATTCTATGGGAGTAGGATTTGTGTTGCCTTCGCTCAGTGATGTATAAGCTGGTGCACACAGAGATGAGGAGGTCCTCCTTCCCCACAGGGGCATACATCAGACCAGAATCGCCCCGGAGCTTTCCTCTGCTTCTGAAGATTCTGCTGCAGGAAGACCTACCTGCTTGCACGAGAGCCCTCATGCCGGGCAGGTGAGAATGTGCGACAGGAAGGGATATACCAATCCCTGAGGTGAGCTGCGATACCAAGGAAGGGGTGGAAGCCTCTGTAGACTCCATAAACTAGCCTAATCTATAGGTATCATACTATAAATCCGTTCATAAGGCCAGCAGGAAGAATGGTTAATGCTTAATAGTCAGAGAATGATGAAAAGGCTCTGACAATGATGTATTACTACTATGTTTTAAACTTAACAATGGTTAAAAAGGCATGTTTTATGTCTCATAAATATTTATCACCTTTTAGGCTGGTGAGATAGCTCAGTGGACTAAAGTGCTTGCTTAGGCAAGCTTAGGCAAGTGCAGGGACCGCAGTTCAATCCCTGGTACCACATGCTGTGCCAGCCCTGCCCCCAGGGTGGGCTGAGCCAGCCGGCCACACACACACACACACACACACACACACACACACACACATTTATCACCTTTTAAAGACAAATACCATGTTCCAAACCACTGAATTGTATTATAGGTATATTATAAATCTGTTAAAAAAAAATCTGTGTAAGTCTATAGTGTGAATAATGCAGGCTTATTTACTAATGAAAGTCTTATTAGGATAGTGTATGAGAGATGCTTATCAGTGTTTAAACAGAAAACTGCTATTTCTTTCCTTATTCGGTACCAGTGGTGAGAATACTCAATTTTTGTTATTTATTAGCAAATGTTTATGACTAGATCAAGAGGAGGATGATGGGAGGAAATCGCTTAGGATGGCTACTAATATAAGTGGGGTTCGGGGGGGTGCAGATGAGGGGTCAGACCGCTGGCAGGGCATCTGGAGGACACCCAGCGGTGACCGATGACAGCCTGTTCCACGTCACTTTGTTATGAGACACACTGGGCGTGGCTCTGCATACCTTACTCCTTAGGGTACATAATTATTTCATCAGGAAAGTGAATCTACATCTAAGCAGGGGCTGCAGCTCCAGATTTCTAGCACATTTATTACAGGCTGTCAGAAAACATGGTTTGGATTTCACTATTTATAGTCTCGCTAATCTGCCTATTTGTGGATAAATCAGACAACATTGCCAGAAACATTGCCAGTGATTGTTTAAATGTCAGTGTGATACGCTTGCTCATACTGTACATTTAAAAACCATGTATTATTTTTTAAAGTTACTTTGGCTTGTACCCAGCTTTACAAAAGAAAATATTTAAATATTTCTTTTTTCCTGTAATTCTGGCTTAAAAATATTTGTATACATTGTATTTTTTAATAATAGGAATACATTTTCTGTGCATGATTCTCTATTGTATAGACATTCTACAATTTGCAAAATGTTGAATTATCATTTTCATTTACTAAAGGTAAAATATCTCAATGAAAGTTGTACTTACTAAGATACATTTTAAGCTGTTTCATGTCCTATAATGATAATATATTATGCAATGATATTAAAAATCAAATTGGTAATAGCTGGGCATGCTGGCACACGCCTGTAATCCTAGCCCGTAATCCTAGCACTTGGGAGGCTGTGGCAGGGGGATTGCTTAGAGTTTGAGGCCAGCCTGGGTTACAAAGTAAGTTCAAGGCCAGCCTGAGCTGCAAGGTGAAAGTCTTTCTCAACAAGATAGACAGATAGAGAGATATATTGATTGACTTTTACAGCAGGAGCTCAATGCCACGGCTGGTCTCTCCCAGAGAGTGTCTCATCCACGGATTAAAATCCTCCCCACGGCGCAGGCCATTTGCTTACACACTTACCTCCACTAGCTGCTCATCCAATTTCACTTGTTTCTTTTTCAGGCCTTCATTTTCCAAGTGAATTGTTTCTAACTCTCGTTCGAGAACATTCATCTGACTGCCCTATTAAAAAACAGAATCCCCCTTTAAAAAAACAACCAACCAACCAAATTGTTCTACTGTATTTTGATAAATCTGTTTGTCAAAAATCTTGATTCTTGAAAGAAAGCCAAGAAAATGCAACAGTGCAAAAACAATACACAGTGCGGTGCTATTTAAGTGCCCTGGGTTCAAGCGGCACTTCTTTCAGGCTTCGAGCTGGCTTCTAAACTCTGATGCTACCCACGGCAAAACACACACAAGCTGATCCTGTAACACGGTATCTAGACCTCTCTGCGTGTGTGTGCGTGTACAGCTGTAGCTACATTATCATCCAAAGAAAACGCTTATGTAAGACTTCGTATCATGAGCCATAAGCTGCTGTTTCCTAGTATATTTTATTAATTAAAAATGCTATTCACTAAATTGATTTAATGATCCTCTACTACTGGATCTCAGGGTGGGGTGATCTCTTCAGGGTATATAAATCAAGATTTATCTAACTTTTTTCCGGTTTTAAAGATGAAATTTTGAAGATACGTGTGTGTGTGTGTGTGTCCATTTTTGGAATTTCCCTAATACAGGAAGAATTTACTGAGCCTGAGGACACTTGGCTTAAAAATATTACTAAATAGGAAACATGACACTATTCAGACTCAAAGTGATCCTTCTGTCTCAGCTTCCCCAGCACTGGGATTACAGGTGTGTGCCACCATGCCTGGTTTCAGTGGCTGGCATGGCATGTCTGGAGTTCCATGGCCAGCACAGCACGTGGTATTGGGAATCAAACTTGGGTCCTTGCGCTTGCCAGGCAGGTACTTAGACCACTGAGCTATCTCCTCAGCCCCTGTTGACTCTTCTAAGACTTTTCAATAAACCATATATTTGACAAGAGGAATGTCATAGGGATAATTTCAAGTTTTGGTTTAGGGAAGGGAAAACAGGTAACCTCAACAAGCCTCAGGTTAATGTGGTCTGAACCCTAACTCTGTGAGACAAGGTACTAAAGTGAACGCAGCTGTGCTGGAGTTTGAGCAGGCGGTAGTCAGCTCCAAGAGGACCCTGCAGGGTTCCCACTGCCTGGGTTAGGTTGTGTGTGGGCAGCCCGCAGCAGGAGGGTCAGTGTATGACTTGTGACGTTATGCTCTCAAACGCCCACAGCTTGTCTTGGTATTTTTAGCTTAGGTGTATGTCTGTCCAGGAAGTAAGAAGCTGTGATCTCAGCCATTTAGCTAGCAGGAAGCAGAAGCCTCTTGGGAAGTCAAATGAGAGCCTGGAATGTGGATCCTCTGGCCTCAGCAAAGCCTTCAGGTGACCATGGCCTTGGCTGACACCACAAGAGCCCAGACTCAGACCACCCAGCTAAGCTGCTTCCGGACTCCAAACCATACAGACTGCGGGCACCAAGCCTTATTTTGTTCCATGGCACCAATAACTAATACAGTTCTAACAGGGTATTTCTGACATGTAGGCTACATATATTTTGCCAATTTAGAAAGTTTTATGATAGTGAAGATGACGAACTGTCTTCCCCACAAGACCTTCAAATGCATTGTTCCTTTTCAACCATTACTTAATCAAAAAGAACTACGATACTGTTTTGACAAGACTACAGAGGCATAGAGAGATACAAGGAAGAACCGCAAGGCACCACTGCAATCATCTCCTTAGAATCCTGCAGAATGAGAAACACTCCAGGGAAGCGCTCTTGTCAAAACACTGACACATGCCACAGACTCTTGCAAGCTCACCTTCCTATGAGCGGGAGATGGCTCTTTCTGAAACTGTTCACACTCTCTCTTTAAGTTCAACTTCTCTTGCTCTGTGGGTTTCATAGTACCCGATGGGCTGAGATGTTTTTGGTGCTTAAGGGGAAGAAGGCTGGATTCCAGCTGACGGACCTAAAAAAACCCCAAATATACACAAATGCTTATGTAATTACCCGGCCAGGAAACCCAACCCACCCACACAGGCAAAGCTTGTGTTTAGTCTTCGGGTCCTGTGGTATTAAAAGTTCTTTCTGAGCCAGGCATGGTGGTGCATGCTGTAGACCCAGGTCCTCAGGAGAGTAGGAGGGTCACTGGAGCCCAGGACTTCAGGGTCAGCCTAGGAAGTATGGTGAATCATGCTTCAAAACCAAGAGTGACAACAAAAGACCTTTTGGTGCAGCTTGCCAACTCTGGAAACCTGTTCTTGTGGATTCCTGAAGATCTTTTCTAGGGAAACCTGGGGTGGATGACACACCAACACTGTGAGGACGAGGCAGGGAAGAGGGGATTTCTGGGCCTTCTGAGTGGACAGGGGTTAAGGTGTTGGAGTGAGCACCAAGGAAACAGGCATGGCAGGCCGCAGCTCCTCAGCTCTGGCCCGAGCGTAACTTCTAGGAGTGAATGAGGTGGCAATCTCATTGGCTCCACCAACTGCGAAGAACTGAAATGTGAATTTGTCTCTATTAAGTCCCAAGAGCACAGTCTTGTCCCCCACTGTAGTCTCCAGGATCTGCAGTGTGCTAGTGGACAGTACGAGCTCCCTCCGAGAGCTCCTCCTCAGCAGGGGTGCCGCAGCATTGGTTAACTATAAATGGCCAACAATGTAGCAGAGGTAAAGAGGCATCAGCAATGCCTGATGGGTAAAAGAGATGACCTTTAAAAATCATTCTAGCCTTGAAATGCTGAGTCTTTAAAATGGGGAACCTTTTTCTCCTACAAGGAGGGAGTTAGACCCAGAAGACCTAAGTCTAATTCTGCCCTTTTTGTAATTATTGATCTAGGCAGCTAGCCAATTTGAATGAAGAATACAGGGTTAACATAATTTTTTTTAAAAAACGTATTTGGCATAGGGTCTCACTGTGCAGACTGAACTCTTAATGATCCTCCTATTTTCAGCCTCCCCAGCGGTGGGATTACAGGCATGTGCCACCACGCCTGGACTCAGTCGCCAGCCCAGCACACCCAGGCGTGGGGCCAGTGGCATGTGGTGCTGGGGATCAAATTCTGGTCCCCGTGCTTGCCAAAGCAGGCGCTTAGTCCACTGAGCTATCTCGCTGGCCTGGGTTAACA